AGCACAGCACCAGCACCCACCACCTCCCCTCAAAACAAAAGCAATGTAAAAATAAAGTAGCAAACACATGGAAAATATAAATAAGCATCAACTGCAAATAGTAATAAAGTCTCCAAACGTCTCCAACTTACTGGAAAGTATTTTAAATTATAAGATAATAAAATGTGTCATGAAAGTGTTGGGTAAAGTTTCTAAAGTTCTTGAACACAGAAGAGGAAGATAAATGCGGGGCTGGAGCAATAGCACAGCGGGTAGGGCGTTTGCCTTGCACGAGGCCAACATGGCCAACACAGGTTCGATTCCCAGCATCCCATATGGTCCCCCGAGCACCACCAGGAGCAATTCCTGAGTGCATGAGCCAGGAGTAACACCTGAGCATTGCCGGGTGTAACCCAAAAAGCAAAAAAAAAAAAAGAAAAGAAAAAAAAAGTCAAGAATGCATGATTTTTCTAAAATAATGATAAAAACACCATATAGTTTACAGGATGATGACTGAAGCTAAAAAAATCAATATATAAACAGAAGAGACAAATGTACAACAGCCACGACAAGTGTAAAATAAGAACAATTGCAATAAGTGTAAATATACTATATATGCCAGTTAAAGGTATTTAACATTGCATTTAAAAATTCCAAATGCTGTTAATTTTATTTAGGGTTTTTTGGCCACAAAAAACTCTCAGGGATCATTCCTGGTTGTGCTGAGGGATCAAGGCAGTCTGGGGGTAGACCTGAGGTTGGCCACCTGCAAGGTACTTAACCCCTTGTACACTCTCTCTGGCCCCATGTTTTCTACTTATTTTATTTTGGGGTGGGGTATTGGTGATAGATGTTATGGTACATACCATTTACTCATTTACAGAAAGACAAAAATAATGACAATTTTATTTGCCTAGTTTTAACATTTTAACATGTGATAGCACAGCGGTAGGGCATTTGCCTTGCACGCAGCCAACATGGCCGACCCGAGTTCGATTCCTCCGCCCCTCTAGGAGAGCCCGGCAAGCTATCCATGATGTATTCGATATGCCAAACACAGTAACAACAAAGTCTCCAATGGAGACGTTACTGGGCCCGCTCGAGCAAATCGACGAACAACGGGAGGGCCTTTACCTTTACCTTACCTAGTTTTAACATTTTAACATGCTGTAATCCAAATACACAAATTTAAAGGATCTTCAATAGTCTTAAGTGTAAAGGCCCTAAGAGATTATAATTTTTAATTTTAATGTAGGAGTATTGCTATTTATTCAGCCTCTGATTAGGCTGATTGAATTGGGCATGAACTCCACCTTGCTTTTTAAAAAAAAAATTTTATTTATTGAATCACCGTGAGAGCAGTTACAAAGCTTTCGGGTTTAAGTCTCAGTCATACAATGATGAAAACCCATCCCTTCACCAGTGTCCATTTTCCACCACCAAAAACCCCAGTATACCCATCCTTCACCCTCCCCCTACCTGTGGGGCAGATAATTTCCCTATTACTCTCTACTTTGATTACATTCAATATTTCGACACCAGACCCACCATTACTATTTCGAATTTTACCCCAACACTCAGATCTGGCGAAAAGGCAACCATAGACAACTTGTTTTCTATTGCTGGTTATGAATAACATATGATGTCACGTGGCTGCAGTAGTGGTTGCGCAATTTTGGAATTCCAAAATTTTTCTTCTGTTTCTTTTTTTTTTTTTATTTAAAGAACTATGATTTAAAGTTATTGAGAGTTCCATTCCAGGCATACGATATTTCTTTTTTTTTTAATTTTTATTTTAACAATTAAATCTGGAAGGATTTCTACCAAAACCTGCTGGGTTCCGAGATTTGTTTCCTGAGTCTCTAGGATCATGGCCATTTAGCAGCTTGACCAGGAGCCAGAGAGGCCATTGGTGGGCAGCAACTGTTGGGGTGGGGAGGAAAGGGCCTAAGAGATTCTAAATCACCAAAATACAGACACATTGTTTCAACAAAGATGGATCTTAAAAACAACACTGAAGTAATTTACATGTAAGTAATTTGCAGCTATCCTATTTAAATAAAGTCCAATTAAATAGATGAAAGAAACAATATAGCTGTTAAGGTACACTAACAAGTGATACACTGTACACAATGTAACTGAGTGCAGGGTCAAGGTTGTCCCTCAGGGCTAGAGCACAGGCCTTGCAAAGGTGGGGCCCTGGTTTCATTCCTGAACTAGCTGGTTAAGAAGGGCAAGCGAGGGGCTGGAGAAATAGCGCAGTGAGTAGGGCATTTGCCTTGCAAGCAGCCGACCGGGGTTCAATTCCCAGCATCCCATATGGTCCCCTAAGCACTGCACTGCCAAGAATGATTTCTGAGTGCAGAGTCCTGAACTGGGTGTGATTCCTGAGTGCAGAATCCTGAGCTGGGTATGACCCCAAAAAGAAAAAAAAAAAAGAAGAAGGGCAAGTGGGACGGGGTTGGTCAGGGCATGAGCAACAGCACATCCAATAGGGTGCTAGCTTTGCATGTGGCTGACCTGGGTGGATTATCCAACTCCTCACAAAGTCCCCCGAGCCCACTAGGAGTGATCCCTGCACAACACAGCTGGGTGTGACTCAAAACCAAACCAAACCAAACAGAAAAGCAACTGAATAAATAACACAAAATTCATGATCATGGGGATGGGGATGGGAGAGATGAGTGATACTTTTTGCTCCTAGGGAGAAGATGACGCCAGAGGCATCTACTGTATTTGTGACAATCTTATAAAGTTGGGTACACAAATGTACTTGGACAAAACTAAATATATATATATATACATATATATATATATATATACTTAGAAAAAGTTTAATAGAAGAAACAGGTAAACATACCTATTCTAGAAGAAAAAACCCAAAAGCATCTTCTCAAATTAAAACTATAAATTCAATGCAATCGCAAGCAATATCCTACCAAGACTTCCTACAGAGCTTGAAAAGATGAGCCCATATTTCATCAGGGAGTAAAGGTAAAGGTAAAGGTAAAGGCCCTCCCGTTGATCGTCGATTTGCTCGAGCGGGCCCAGTAACGTCTCCATTGGAGACTTTTGTTGTTACTGTGTCTGGCATATCGAATACTCTCGGTAGCTTGCCGGGCTCTCCGAGAGGGGCGGAGGAATCGAACTCGGGTCGGCCATGTTGGCCGCTTGTAAGGCGAACGCCCTACCGCTGTGCTATCGCTCCAGCCCTATCAGGGAGTAAGCCCTGAGCATTGCCAGGTATGGCCCCCAAACAAAAAGCAAACAAAAATAAATCAAATAAAAATAATATGATCAGATGCTCACGAGAACCTAATTACATTAGGTTCACAACTACCTTCCTTGAGGCTTAGAAATGTCTCCAAAACAAACACATCAAAAAAGAAATATCCATCAGAGGAGATTGATACCTATTTCCTATTAAAGCTATATAAAGCATGTACCATTTCCAACTTGAGGCTAAATGAGGAATTTCCTAAAAGCAATGGTTAATTATTAACAATTTGGTGTTGGCAGTGATTTCTGGCATAACTGTAAAGAATTAGAACAAACTCTATACATTTTAGGGAAGAAGAATTTAACTCTTCTGAAATTATATGAGATCAGCCATCTTAACAGTATCTTTAACACTGAAATGCATATAAATCAGTCTTTATTAGACTTCACGAGGAAAAATGTTATTTACACCTTCCAGCATATATACATATATATATCTATATATCTGTATACATATATATACTGTCCACTACAGTCCTCTGCTCTACCAGCTGAGCTATCGAAGAAAGCAATAGCACAGCGGCAGGGCGGTTGCCTTGTGCAGAGGCAGCCAGCCGAGCCGGGTTCGATTCCTCCGCCCCTTTCAGAGAGCCCAGTAAGCTATCGAGAGTATTTTGCCCGCATGGCAAAGCCTGGCACGCTACCCGTGACGTATTCAATATGCCAAACACAGTAACAACAAGTCTCAAAATGGGGAAGTTACTGGGCCCATTTGAGCAAGTCAATGAACAATGGGAGGACAGTGCTACAGTGCTACATATATATACACATCTATCTATCTATCTATCTATCTATCTATAATTATCTCCTCAATGGCTCTTATTTTCTCAGACTGGATTCATCTCTACTATTCAGAAGAAAAAGAGGAAAATTTAACAATAAAAAAAATAAAATTAAAAATAAATTTCATCAGGGAGGGAGAACACAAAAGAGCCCAAAGGATTTTTTTTAAACAAAGCACCAAAAATATGCTACAAAACTACAAACGTTAAAACAGTGTGGTAATAGCCAATCAAAGAAGAGTTCAGATTCCAGTTTGAGGGGGGAAAATTGAGCAAAGGAAATGGTCTGAAATGGTCTAAGGGAAAGAAAAGTTTTTGGTATTATCTACAATTAAAAAAAAAAATCTCTGGACCATGACAAGAAAACCCGGTCTCCGCTCTTGGCTGGCAGGGAGGCACACCCAGCTTTCCCCGGAGGTCCGTCCCTGGAGAGTGTCATCCAGCCCCCCGACTGACGAGGAACCCAGCATTCCGGCACTGACCACTGAGCACAAACTGAGAACACCATGGCGGGGGGTATCAGCAAGAGCCTGCAGCCGCAAGGAATGCAAGTCCTGCTAAACGCCCCCCACGGTCCAAGGTGGGCGCTCTCTCTCTCTCTCACACACACACACACACACACACACCACGCTCACATACACCATATTCACACCCACACACCACATTCACACCCACACCCACACCACATTACACCCACACACACCACATTCACGTGCACCACACACGCTTACACACACCCAAACACATGCACACACACACGCTCACAACACCACACTTATGTTCACACACATACACTCACACACCACGCGCACACGCTCCCCACACTCACGCACACGCACGCTCACACACTCACACGCCCCGTTCGCCCCGGGGGTTTGAAGCGGACCAGACACGGGCCGCGGGTCCCGGGAACACCGGGCTCGCCCCCGGGTCGCGTCCGCTCTCCCCGCCCGCCGTTACCTGCCCGCGGCGCCGCCCGGGACTTCGCGCCCGGTCGCTTCCCCATGCTCCGCGCTGCCTCAGGCCGCCCGGCCGGGACGACGCCGCCCTCCACACAGAGACAGAAGGCGCGCTGCGAACCGGAAGCAGAACCCGGCCCCCGGGGGCGGGCGCTCCGTGGGGCGGGGTTAAAAAAAAGAGAAAGCGAAAACTCAGGCGCGCGTCCGCCCCGCGCACGGCCAATGGCGAGGCGGCACCGCGCGCCCGTCAGCCGCCGTCCACACGGCCCCGCAGTCCCCTCTGCGCAGGCGCAGCCGCGGCGACGCGCTAGGGGTGGGGCCGGAAGCGCCCGTGCCACACCGGATGCGGAAGTGAGCGCTCTCGAGGCCGCGGGCTCTGCCAGGCCGGGCTCCTGAGCCACTGGCAGGCTCATGCCGCACCGGTGATGGGGACCGTGATTTGGTCTTGCCCCAGTGCCACGTTCCCGAGGTCTCGTCCTTGTGTTTTAATAAGGGTGAAATCCTTGCAGTAGTTGCTTACGTAAGTGGTTTAAGAAGTCACTAGAAGAGACTCATTTCGGAGAACAAGGCATCCAGAAATAGCATTAATTTACCAATCAGAGATGTCAGGCGTTACATTTACCACGAACCAGGCACATGTGCCATGGAGTGAAAATAGAAAGAGTTGTTGGTCAGTAACGCCTTTTCATTTTCTTATTCATTGTTACCAGAGGCTGCATTGAACTTGAGGAGATTGTAGTAACATAGGGAGGCAGGAAGATAGGAAAGGGCCCCGGTGGTGATGGAATTCAGGGGAAATAGTACTCTGGTGGCTGCAGAAGCCCACCTCCGAGCGCAGGAAGTAAGGCCTGATCAGACCTTCACCTGGCACCAAGAGACCCAGAGAAGGCGTAGAGCCCCTCCCACCTTGGAAAAAAGCTTCAGCAGGAATAAAGGCCAGGAAAGGAATTTCAAAGAGGATCATTGCCCACTCCCAACTCTACCCTCTTGCAACCACCCTTGAAAAGGACTTTTACCTAGGTAGAAGTCTCACGTGGGGGCAGGTTGGAGAAACACTATAAAAGCCACCTTGAACAAAGGAAGGGCTCTCATATGCTGCCCCAGCCCATGTACTCCTTGTGCTCATGTGGCACATGTGGCACCTGCATTTCCCCTCTTGAGATGTGTACTGGGGCTTTCTCCCATCTTTGGAGAAGCTCACCTCTCTCTCACTTTCTCTCCCTTCTTCCCCTTACTCAAAGCCTCCAAATAAAATCTCTTTTTTACTTCACTGCTGTCTACTTCTAAAATTCCTTTCTGCGAGAAAAAGACAAGGAAACCCAGGGTAAGGCCTAGGACTGACTTTCCTTTCCCTCAAAGAGCAATTCCTCACTCCAGCTGGAGTCTGTGGCTCCCCAGAGAGATCAGGTGGTGGGGATCAGTTCGGTGGGGATCAGTTCCCGTGCTGAGAAGAACAATCGGATGTCAGGTGTGGCTTGACAGCCACCTCTTAGGGCTGGCAGGATGTGAGGTCCTTGCCGTGCAGAGGCTCAATGCAGGTTTTATCAGACTTGCCTTTCCCAACTGTTCCCGGGGTGGTAGAGATGGATCGGGAGAAAGTAACCATCTCTCTCCTCTCTGCCTCACATAACCCACCCATGGGGGCCCACTGACAGACACCCAGCCACTACCTCAAGAAAAACAGAAGTGTAGCTAGCTATATCGTATGAAGACAGGCTGGAAATGTTTCAGGTGTGTGTGTGGGGGGGTATAGGTGTCCTCAAAACAAGAGGTATAATAAGGTCTAACTGAACAGAGAATTCCTGAGTTCAAATTTCTGACAAATAAGGAACTCAGACAAAATTGGAGACAGGGAGATGAGAAGAGCAAGAATTCTTATGCCTTGCCATTATCTACATGGAGAACTTCATTGTGTAACCCAATGGGGACACCAGTCTGCCACTGACAAATAAGGAGGGATCTTACTGCTCAACAGCACAACTCTCTCATCCAGCAAAAGCTGCACCAATAAAAAGCACCACAGCAGAGTCAAAGAGAAGTGGGCACTTATTCCCATCCAATCAAATCTCGGGACGATTCTTCCTCACACTCTCAGGGTTTTATATAAATAAGCTCTTCTGAGCCTTAGTCTTGGGTTTACATAAGTTCCATCAGAGCTTTCTTCTCGAGTTGCTATTGCTTTGGCTATTCCTGAATAAACTAAATTTTAATTTCACATTTTAAGGATAAAACTCTTATTCTAAAGTATTTTGCTAATAAATTCACTATTCTGTTTTGTTTAAAGTTTACTTATTTTGCTGTCAGAAGTGGGCTCTGAAAGTGCCAATCTCTGGAATGCGGGGGGTACCCATAGGGAGCTCCTGCATCAGTCCTCAGAGTTGCCCCTGTCTTTTGACTGTAGTAAGAATTCCTTCAGATTTTGAGCTCCACTCTCTATCCCACTCAGCCTTTCTTTAGTGTAAGTGTTCCATCTGTCTGGTTTAAAGAATCTTTTTCTATTTGATTCTGGACGCATTCTAGAATATTGATGAAAATTCAAAAAAGAGATGGGTCAAGTATTTCTGAGAAAGGACCAAGAAAAAAAAAATGGTTCAATGGGGTTGGAGGACTGACTCACATCATAGATGCCAAGAAAGAACACATTCCAAGTGGGTTTTGAGGATAGCCTTAGGCCCAACTGGGCTAAGTGGTAGCCCAATTGTTGAAGATGTCACCAATGCGGTATGAGTAACTGCTCAGAGAGCTGATCAATAAGGTGACTCAAAGATGGGAGTGGTGACCTGGTAAGAGAGGTAAGAGAGGGCCAGGTGGTGACGGAGCACATGTCACAGTCTCTTGGGAGTGGTGGGCCTGAGGTAAGAGAGGCCAGGTGGTAACAAGGCACATTTCACAGTCACTCTAGTTACAAGCCAAGGTAAAGAGAAACCAAGGAGACCTATCTTAGGGAGCTGTGGAGCTGGAAAATAGGGCAAGAGGTCTCTAGAGTTCAAATCAGTGAGTGCCCCACTTCACAGCTACAGCCAAAAGGCGGCCAGAGCAAAAGGCTAAGATGGAAGCAGGAGTGGCCACACCCCCCTTTGTTCCCAATGCCTTCCCGGGTTCCCAACCCTCTGTATCCAGAGCTGGAGGTCTGGGTCTCCAAAGGAAGTGCACTCATGCCTTGAGATTCATCACTTTCCAGTCCAACCGCACAAAAAGACTCCCCAGAAAGAACATCGGAGAAGAAGATTCATTTTCTTGGTTGTAGCAGTCCCAAATGATCAGCCTTGATCATGTGGGTTGTTATCATATACAGGCCTGACCACCTCTGAGCCAGGTATACAGGACAGACCACCTCTGAGTCATGTGATTGTCCACTGGGATGCGATGTAACTGAAGGGACTGTAATTTCAGCACTCGGATTCTGAAATATAAAAGTTCCTCAGAGATCAGAGGTCTCACAAGGTGTGCTAAGTTGTGTGGACATTTCCACTTTCTGCGTCAAACTAACCTTCCCATTTAGGGCCAGGGCGGGCCAGGGTAGAGGAGAAGTTTGGTGAAGAGGCTGTAATCAGCTTTGGAAAAGTGAAACCTTCCGAGTATTGTAAACTGTCAAAGGCAAAACCAAAACCAAAACCAAAACCAAAATCCAAAGCAAAACCCAAAGCAAAACCCAAGTGTGTTTCTTACCGGGTCACTTGAGCGTCCTTTGGAAACGTGTTCCAAGCCTTCTTTCTTCCGGCCACGCAGAGCTCGGATGAGCATAGACCCGTCTCTGAAGAGAGGCCGGGCTTTCCTGTTTTCCACATAAACCCCGGCTATCTGAACTGGTGATTGTTCTGCAGGGGGGCACGTCCGGCAGGGCTCAGGCTTGACTCCTGGCTCTGCGCGCGGGGTCCCTCCAGGCGGTGCTCCAGGGACCTTCGGGGACCCCCGGGGACCCCGCGGGGTCTGCACCTGGGTGCAAGCTGGAGCCCTGCCCGCTCTGCTCTCCTGCTCTGGGTGACTTGGGGAGCGCGTAGTCGGGAAGCCTGGCGGGGTGTGGGCCGGGGTGCGCTGAGGATAGGGGCGAGCGGCCGCCCAGGGCCCGCGCGCTCTGCAGTCGGACGCGCTGGGCACGGGCAACTCCGCCGCGAACTACAAGTCCCCGCGGCCCCTTCGCGGGCGCCGCCCCGAGCCCGGCCCGCCCGCAGGTGCCCGCGCTGCCCGGCCGGCCGGCATGGAGTCCCGCGCGGCCGACGGCTGCTTCCTGGGCGACGTGGGTAGGTGCCGGCGGGGCTCGGGGGGCTCGGGGGTCCCGGGGCGGGGAGCCCGGGAGGCCGCACGGGAGACTCTGGCTGGCGCCCGCAGGAAGAGGGTGGGCGCAGGGGACAGTGTTGGAGGGACGGGGTTTGGGGGACACGCAGAGGGACAGTGTTGGGAGACGCGCGGAGGGACTTGGGGCGCGCGCGAAGGAACAGTGTTTTGGGGGACGTGCTGAGGGACTGTGTTGGGGGGGCGCGGAGGGACAGTGTTGGAGGGACAGTGTTGGGGACACGCGGAGGGACAGTGTTTGCGGGGAGCAGTAGCCCTGCGTGTCACCGCGGCGGACACAGGCATGGGGGTGGACGCACTTGCAAAGGCTGGAGAAAGGAGAAAACACCCGAAACAGCCAGCTTTGGTGATGCCGGCGCAGGCGAGGGGCTGGGGTGAGTCCGGAGGAGCCCGGAGGGTTTTCAGAGGACAGAGGACAGCGCGGCACCCGCAAAGGTGTGCACTGAGCGTCCCTCATAACCGGACACCAGCCAGCCCCAGACTTTGCCCTGCCGGTGTGACCTGTGTGGGGGTCACCTCGGTGAGCAGCTGGCAGCTGACCCCGGTGCCCAGTTAGACAAACGCTCCAGTGCTTGTGCCGGAGCACGGGGTTTTCCAAAGCAGCAGCCCTGTCCCCAGCAGCCTGGCAGGAGGGTGTGAGTCCTGCTGCCTCAGCACCTGGGGAGTGTTCTCTGCAGAGAGAAAGTAGATTTGCCGGCAGGGGTTGCTAAAAGTGATTTTTTTTTTTTTCTGAAAAGGGAGACCAAAGAGGGTTGGGAATCCTGAGTCCCCTTAATAGGTCCTCATTGGTGACCGTCCTTCGCTTTGTTAGGAAAAGCGTCTGGAGAGCAGGGGTTGTGAATGGAGGGGGCTTCTGAGACAGTTTCCATTCACAACCCCTTTCTTGCCCGAGAATTTGTTTTGTGATTGTACATACGGAACATATGCCAAACACAGTAACAAGTGTCACATTGGAGACGTTACTGGGCCTGCTCGAGCAAATCGATGAACAACGGGAGGACAGTGACAGTGACATACAGAACAAGTATGCATGCAGATGCTTACTGATAATAAATCACAAATTTATTTCAAGATGCACCCCCCCACAACCCCCACATAGGGCTGTGGTCCAGTTTAAGAAGCGAGGCTGTAGGAGATGGAGAGGCAGCATAGTGGTGGTACGTGGCCGGCACCCCGTAGGGTCCCCAAGCCTTGCTAGGAATGCTCCCTGAGCACAGAACCAGGAGTAAGCCCTGAGCACTGCTGCATGTGGCCCCCAAACAAAAATATACTCCAGTAACAAAAAATGTATTTTCTGGGTCACAGCAATATGCCAGGGGCTGGAGCTGGTGTTACACACGGAAAAAATTACGTTGGGTTTCTCAATAATATGTGGACCCTCCAAGTCCAAGGATCCGGAAGTGATCCCCGAACACTGAGCACTGCCAAGGGGTGACCCAAAAACAAGATAGGAAAATGCACACACACACACACACACACACACACACACACACACACACACACCTCCCTAATTCTGTCCCCACTGACACTTTTATCTCAACACTAATGAATGAACTGAACACGCAGCACACAGCTGGGCCCAAAGAAATCCAGGCCCCCCCTGGGAATGTTCACATTCTGACCCCAAACCTGCCATGTGTAGTAGACTCCAAGCAAACAAGCAAGTGATTCAGCCAATCAGCTCTCCACGAGCTCAGGATGATGGCGTGCACACGGTGTCTGCAGAAAGCCACATCCTCAAGGGAACATGGTGTTCACAACTTAGCACCCACAGTGCAGACACCCACGAAGCCCGGGGAGTAAGCTAATCAGATACCGCCCAGGGTGGTTTTGAGGTAACTCAGGGCTGGAGTGCAGGCGCTGCCTATGGGAGTCTGGGCATTGGCCCCTTTTCCTGCTCCCCGAGCAAGGCTGGGAGGGTTCTTGAGCACTGTGCTAGGAACATCTCCCTGGACCATGAGACGGTGCCTGATACCCTGAGCCCCAGGGTCATTGCTGGGGGGTTGTGCAAAGGCAGGACGTGGAGGAGGGGCAGACTGGCCACTGCTGTGTGCCTGCCCCACGTTCCTCCCTGGCCAGGGATTTAAGTATCTCCCAAATGCTGCTTTAAAGCTGAGGAATCAGCAAGCACAGGTTGGAAGCTGGTGTATTTTGCAATGCGCTGATTGCAGGCGGCAGCTATTTTAAGGGACAGAATTTCTAGATGTGATGAGAAAATTTAACTTTGCATCCCTCTTCTGGACTGGCTTGGTGCAGATGGGGCTGAGGAAGGCTTTCTGCATTCTGAGCTGGGCCTCGCCCCTTCGGCTAAACTTAGTTGAAAACATCCTCTTGGGGATGCTGGCTCAGCTCAGGCAGCTCCCAAGTGCATATGGGCGGGCCCGGGTTGTTCTCCTTACATGCATGTACTTCCTTTCTTCTCGACAGCTAGCCCTTTCTGTGCCCTGTGGAGCCCCTGCTCTGTGGCATGGTGTGACCTCAGGATTACCCACAAGCTCCTGGGACTCATACCTGACACAGGGAGAAAAGGAAATCGAGAAGGCTCTTAAAACCAGCAGAAGGAATGCTGAGTGAGGGTTTCTCCTCGGCAGAGCAAAGCTTTTATTCCGTGTGTGTGTGTGTGTGTGTGTGTGTGTGTGTGTGTGTCCGTGCATGCACGTTTAGGGGTGGGATATTTGCTCCTTTTGAACCCTCTGTTACAATTTGAGGTCACGATAAACACCCGAGAAGCACCCAATGTGCCAGGTCCCCCAGTAGCGAAGCCAGCAACTGTGGTTGAGTGCTTTGGGGGAGGGAGGGGGTGACAGAAAAGGTTTTAGGGAGGGAGGGAGGGGTGCCAGGAGACCAATTAGCAGGGCAGGGATCTGGGGACGGTTCCCCCAGGGGGGGTAGTAACAGAAGCTGAGGGCTTGGGTTTCTGGGTTTCCGAGGAGGCCCCTCTCCCCAGGGACTTGCCCAGGCTGAGATGCCCCTCACAGCTGAGACCCCTTCTGTGCCCGCGGCTGCTGGCTGCAAATCCTACCACCTGAAGACCGTGACCCTCTGCTGACCCACCTTTTGCATGAAGCAGGGGGTCTTACTTCTGGGGGATGTCAGGAGGCTTTTGCGGGGGGCGGTGGGTAACCCTTCCTCTGTGTCCCCATCCCTCTGACCCCTGGTGGTGGCAACCAGCTCCCAATTGCGTCCACCTGTGTGGGGCCCCACCCTCATCTTTTGTTAAACATGATTTCTAATTTTTTACTAGTGGTTGGGCTGGAGCGATAGCACAGCGGGTAGGGCGTTTGCCATGCACGCAGCCAACATGGCCGACCCGAGTTCGATTCCTCCGCCCCTCTCGAAGAGCCCGGCAAGCTACCGAGAGTATCTCGCCCACACAGCAAAGCCTGGCAAGCTACCCGTGATGTATTCAATATGCCAAACACAGTAACAATAAGTCTCATGATGGAGACGTTACTGGGCCCGCTCGAGCAAATCGAACAACAACAGGAGGACTGTGACTGTGACTAAGTACTAGTGGTTAAAAAAATCCCCAAATCTAAACTGTAATCTTATCCCTTTGTAAGCGTGCAAGTTTGTGCTCATTAGAGCACCTTATTGATCTCCAGAATGTTCTAATCTGGCAACACTTAGTGTTTCCACTAAACGAGTCCTGGTTTTCCTCCCCCAGCCCTGCAGGCTGCCATTCCATCCCCAGCTCTGAAGTTGGTGCTCTGGACCCCTCCTGTTTGTTAGGTGTTAGGGTCTTCATCTTAGGGACCCATGTCAGAGGCCACGTCAGAGCCCACATTAGTGCCCATGTTAGTGCCCACTTCAGAACCCACATCAGAGCCCGTGTCAGAGCCCACATTAGTGTCCACATTAGAGCCCACGTCAGAGACCACATCAGAGTCCACGTCAGAGCCCATGTTAGTTTCCAAGTTAGAGTCCATGTCAGAGCCCACATCAGAGCCGACGTTAGTGCCCATGTCAGAGCCCACATCAGAGCCCATGTTAGTGCCCATGTTAGAGCCCAACTTAGGTCCCCATGTTAGTGCCTTTCTGTTAGAGCCGCTAATGCCCTTGTTAGTGCCCTCCCATTAGGACCCACATTCCAGCTTTGATGAGAGGATTTGTAGGTTTGTCCTGGGTGGTGTTACTCCGGATTCCTCAAGGCTTATGGATGCGTGTAGCACCCCCTGGAGACCAAGTGAAGAGTCGGGATGAGGCGGCTGATGGCAGGAGTGGGCCCCGTGCCCCACCAACACGGCGAATGCTCTCCCACAATTCTGTACATTGAGCCCAGGGCCCGTGCAAGCACGGCCGCTTCCTGCTGCACCCTGGCCCCGGCCCCCTGCGGCCCCAGATGGCACACCCCTTCTGGATAGACGCCTCCTGGGGGTTTCTGCTTGCTCTGTGCTCCCGGGGTCAGGAACAATCGCTCAAGCCCATCAGACCTTTCAATGGATCAGATACAGTCTACTTAATTTTATTCATATATTTTAGGGCACCCACAGTGCTGTCGAAGTCCTGTTCTGTGCGCCCCCCTGCAGATTTTGGAGTGGTGGGCCCCACACTCAGCCCACTTTGCTTTCAGGGTTCTGGGTGGAGCGGACACCCGTGCATGAAGCCGCACAGCGGGGCGAGGCAGTGCGGCTGCAGCAGCTGATTGAGAGCGGGGCCTGTGTGAACCAAGTGACCGTGGACTCCATCACACCTCTACACGCCGCCAGCCTGCAGGGCCAGGCCCAGTGTGTGCAGCTTCTGCTGGCAGCTGGTGCCTGGGTGAGTGACACAGGTGGATCCTATTGGAGGAGAGGGGCAGAGGGAAGGAGAGGGGCATTCAGCCGGGGCAGGGGAGCGACCCAGGCAGCAGGGTGGTCTTTGCCCTAGAGCTGCTGGGGGTCTGGGAGAAGCAGCAGCAGCGGGGGGGGGGGGGGGTGGTTCCCCCCGCCCTCGTCCTCATCTCATGAGGTAGCAGTTGGAGGGTCCCCATCTCGGGGAGCAGCAGGGGAGGGTCCCTACTCTGAATGGCAGAAGGCTGGGCCAGGGATGAGAGCAGAGTTGTCCCTGGGCCCCCACAAGCAGGGCCCCCACCTCGGGGTGTCTGGCGGGAACTCCGGCTGCTCCCTCAGGGCCAGAGGAGAGAAGGAGGGAAGGAGTGCTTCCATGGGCTCTGTCTGCAGCACTGCTGGGGGAGGGCCAGTGGCAGTGACCAGGTGGCACATCTGTGGCTTTCCCAGGGGGTGGCCGTGTGCTGGCAGAGCTGCCTGGCCCCTGCAGGATGGCCCTGAGGCTCTGCATCCAGGTTAGGGGCCAGGAGTGGGGTGCCTACCCCTGGCTGCCTGGCGTGCTCGACTGGCCAGGGGTCGGGGTCACTGGGGACAGAGCGGCCTGCACCTGCGTGTCAGGGCCTGGTGCCCTATCCCGGGGTTGCTCAGCGAGAGATGGTGCTGATGCTGCAGGCGCCTGAGCTGGGGTTCAGAGCCAGGGCTAGACCCCGTGTGTTCTCAGACCCCCTGTGCTGAGCGAGGCTAGAGGGGAAGCCCCAGACCCTCTTCCTGAGGCTCTTCCATCCCCCAGACCCACATGCTGCGCGTGCGCCAGTCCCAGAGCTGCCCTGAGCCCTCTCTGTGCCACCAGGTGGACGCTCGGAACATTGATGGCAGCACCCCACTGTGCGACGCCTGTGCCTCGGGCAGCCTGGAGTGTGTGAAGCTCCTGCTGGCCTATGGGGCCAAGGTCAACCCCCCGCTGTACACGGCGTCCCCCCTGCATGAGGCCTGCATGAGCGGTGAGTGAGGCGCGTGGGGGCAGCTGGCTCTCCCGATAGCTCAGGGGGGCCCAGAGGATGCTTAACCCAGCAGTGGCGGCCCCAGCCCCAGCCTGCCCACTCAGCCCGGCTCCCCGGCACTTTCTCCCAGGAAGCTCCGAGTGCGTGAGGCTCCTTATCGACGTCGGGGCCAACCTGGAAGCGCACGACTGTCACTTCGGGACCCCCCTGCATGTCGCCTGTGCCCGCGAGCACCTAGACTGTGCCAAGGTGCTGCTCAATGCAGGTGCGTCCTGTTGGCTCCTGCTGTCCACACAGCAGCTGTGCAGAGGCGGCTGTTCCTCCCCGCGGTCTCCCCACAGGCGTGTGTGTGTGTGTGTGTGTGTGTGTGTGTGTGTGTGTGTACCTACAGTCTCCATGAAGGTGTGTGTGTGTGCATACCTGCAGTCTCCATGCAGGTTTGTGTGTGTGTGTATATACCTGCAGTCTTCATGCAGGTGTGTGTGTGTCTGCAGTCTCCGTGCAGTTTGTGTGTGTGTGTGCCTGCAGTCTCCGTGCAGGTGTGTGGGTGTGTGTATCTGCAGTCTCCGTGCAGGTGTGTGTCTGTGTGTGTGTGCCTGCAGTCTCTGTGCAGATGTGTGTGTGTGTGTGTGTGTGTGTGTGTGTGTGTTCCTGCAGTCTCTGTGCAGATGTGTGTGCTTGTACCTGAATCTCCTTGCAGGTGTGTTCTTGAGTTTGCAGGGGCGGTGGGGCTGTGGCTATGCGCTGTCCCCTCCCTGCACGCTGGCTCGGGCTGTGACGTCTGCTCTGGCCCTGATCCCACAGGCGCCAACGTTAACGCAGCCAAGCTGCACGAGACGGCCCTCCACCACGCAGCCAAGGTGAAGAATGTGGACCTCATTGAGATGCTCATCGAGTTTGGAGGCGACATCTACGCGCGGGACAACCGGGGCAAGAAGCCGTCAGATTACACATGGGGCAGCAGTGCGCCTGCCAAGTGCTTCGAGTTCTACGAAAGTGAGACTCATGGGCATGCGCGGGGCCCTCGCGAAGGGCCCGGGGGAAGGTTACTAGGAAACTCTGTCCTTACAGTCTGTCCTGCCACATTAGGGGCAGCTAAACAGTCTGAGCCATGCCCAAAGGGGGCTGTGACCCTATTTCAGCCCCCCAGTAAACCCCCCAAGTGACCAGGCACAGGACATCTGGCCACTGACATGGGTTCTTAGGGTTCTGTTTTCTATTTTGTGTATGTGTGTGTGTGTGGGGGGGGCTTACTCCTGACTCTGTGCTCAGGGATGACTCCTGGCAGTGCTCCGGGAACCATGTGGGGTGTCAGGGATTGAACCGCAGCCAGCTGTGTCTCAAGGCAAGCGCCTGTCCCCTGTACTGTGTCTCCAGTGCTCATTTTATTCAGTGTCAGCATCAATCCCTGGTCTTCTGCATGCGAGGCATGTCCTCTGCCACTGAGGTGTCCCCACATCTAGTCCCTCTTGGAAGAGTGTGTTTGTGTGACGGTGTATGTGTGTTGGTCTGTGTGAGGGTGTATGTATGTGTCTGTGTGTGTTTGTGTGGGTATATTTGTGTGTGTCTGTGTTTGTGTGTGAGTGTATGTGTGTGTCTGTAAAAGTGTATGTGTGTTTGTGTCTGTATGTGTGTGTTAGTGTGTGTGGGTGTATGTGTGTGTGTTTTTATGTATATGTGTGTGCGTATGTATGTGTGTGTGTTTGTGTTTGTGTGTGTCTGTTTGTGCGTATATGTGTGTCCATGCGTGTGTGCATACGTGTGTGTGTGTGTGTATGTGTGTGTGTGGTGTCTACACCGTCCTGCCCCTGACTGTGCTTCCTATGTCCTTTTGCAGAGACTCCTCTGACACTGTCCCAGCTGTGCCGGGTGAGCCTGCGGCGGACCGCTGGGGTCCGGGGCCTGGAGAAGATCGCCAAACTAGACATACCTCCCCGGCTCATCGATTACCTGTCCTACTGCTGACCCCTGCTCAGGGAGCTCCAGAAGCACCTGCTTCCCGTCCCCTCCTGCTTCCAGCTCATCTTCCCCGAGGACCCCCGAGCCCAGGTCCAGGGTGTGGGCAGGACCCGCCCTGGCAGCTGCTCTGTGCTGGGCTCTGGCTGCGGGCGGTCTGGCCTGCCTTTGCCCCTGCCCTGCCTCCAGGTCCTTCCGGAAGACACCTGTGCAGCTGGGGAGGCCGGGTGGACAGAGGCCAGATTGCTGAGCGCTTTCTTGGGCCTGGGGTCTGCCCTCACCCGTGGCCCTGCCCCTTATGGCTCCTATCCCACTCAAGGCTCAGGTCTTTGAAAAGCTTGTGCGGGGGGCTGAAGCACTTTGATGGGGTCCCTGGGCTGCCCCTGGGTTCTGTGAACCAGTCTCAAATAAAGGAAGATGCAAAACGCCACGAGCCCCAAGTATGTGTCCTGTGGGTTCTGTGTTTGCTGTCCCCAGTTCTGTCTCCCGCGGGTCCTGCGCCCCCAACTCTGTCTCCCGTGGGTCCTGCCCTCCCCAGCTCTGTCTCCTGTGGGTCCTGCATCCCCAGTTCTGTCTCCCGCGGGTCCTGCCTACCCCCATCTCCTGCAGGTTTTGCTCTGGCTCTTTGCACTGCGGCCAATGAGTCTCTGTCCACTGATGACCCCGCGGGGCTATGAGCTGAGGGTGCAGTGACCATGCCAGTGGCCATCCTGCATACTCTGGGCAGCATCCAAACCTCGCCCCCTCAGGGCTGTCCTGCAGCCATCGAAGCTGCCCAGGTTCTGTGTCCACTGGAAACGTGCAGCCGGGGCCCAAGGGAGAGTACAATGGGGAGGGTGCTGGCCTCAGTGGCTGGCGCTGCACACGGCTTCCGGAGCACACAAGGAGTCACCCTGAACACAGCCAGTGGACAGCAGCACCCCGGTCTTGGTGGCCTTGGGCCCTGCGTTCGGAAGAGCCCCAGACTAGGGGGACGTGGGGATAGGGTCTGCAGGCCCAGGGTCTGCCCAGCTACAGGATATGCCCACGGAGGGGGTGCCTTGATAGGCCTCTGCAGTGTGGGGGCACTGCGTTCACCGCAGGAAGAGCCAGGCAGTATTGGGGTTTGGGGCTCACTGCCCAGCAGGATGAAGGGTGAGGTTTGTGGCAGTGTCCAGGACCACTGGGGAGAGATGTGCCCAAAGGCGGGAGATGGTCAGTGGAGTGTCTAGGACAGCAGGGATGAGTCCTGGATCTGGGGTGAGGAGTGTCCAGAGGGGTGTTTACGGGTCTGCAGAATCAGCCCAGTGCCCTCTGCCCTTGGACATTCCTGACCTTCAAGCCAGCAGTGACCCCTCAGGGCCGTGGGACAATGAGGCTGCAAATTGCCCCGCCACTGGCCCCAGGCTGGACAGGACGGGCAGGGCCACCAGAGTGGCAGTTGTTCCCGAGCCTTCTGGGACCCCTGGAGGCAGGACCCCCATCCACCTGCCCCCATACATCAGGGCAGCAGCTGGACCTTCTGTGGCTTCTGCCTGTGACCCAGGGCACACTGGGCCCTCCTGCTCTGAGTGGACATTGGCCTCCCTCCGGCCTGATCCTGCTTTGAGCCAGTGGGGATGTGCCAGTCAGCCCACGTCCGGATCACAAGCTGAGTGTATGTTGGCGGCCAGTAGGGTCAGACACCCCCAGGTTACAGCCCTCCCTGTGAGGTACAGCCTCAGGACAGCCCCTCCAGGACAACACCCCAGGGCAAAGCCCCCCAGAACAGAGATCCACTCCAAGAATGAGCCCCCTCTAAGCCCCCTCCCCGCAGGACAGAACCCCTAGGACAGCCCTGAGGACAGTTCCCAGGAGAGCCTCCAGGACAGAGGCTCCCAGGAAACAGAGGCCCCCAGGACAGAGGCCCCAGGACAGAGCCCCCAGGACAGCCCCTTTCCTTCTCTGGACTGTCCTCTGTCCCACATGGGGGCGCCAGAGAGCACAGGTGTCTGTGGACCACAGACGAGCTGGTGGGGTCCCTGAGGCACCCTCTGCAGGTACGGGCGTCAGCAGCCCCTTCTCAGGAGAGCAGGACTTTGATGTTTGGGGCCCCACCTGGCGATGCTCAGGAGTCACTCCTGGCAGTGACCATATAGGGCACTGGGACTGAACCCTGCTCTCCTGTGAGAGCAAGCGCCTGCTGCTGTACTATCATTCCATGGGGTCAAGGTTTGGTGCAAGGTTGGGGTCGATCCAGGGGGTCAAGGTTGGGTCAAGGTTGGGGTTGCAAAGTGTACAGAAGTCTCACCCAGAGGAACAAAGCTCATGCCTGGGCCTGCACCTCAGTGTCTGGCCACATGGGGGCACCAACATCCCAGCTGTGGGCCCCCCTTTCCCCTGCACAGGTCAGGAGCAGGCCCCTGAGGCCAGGCTTTATCTCCTCACTCCCAGCAGCCCTCAGGGAGCCCCGAGCTACCCAGACGCTGCTCTCCATCCCAGACTTGCCAGGGCAGGAGCTGGCTGCTGTGGCCTCTGGGGACGGATCCTGGTGGGCGCACATCTGCCTTCCCGGGTCACAGGGACTGAGGCGGCTGCAGGAGGGTGGGCCCCAACATAGTTAAGGGGTTCCACACCAGAAACTAGAGCCAACACCTCCCCACGGCTGAGGCTGAAGACTCTGGGTCATGGGGTATAGGGCGGACAGGAACCCTGGGCCCCCAAAGGCTGCAGTGCCCCCAATCAGGGGTGCAGACACTGCACATGCCCAGGCAGAGGCAAGTCCCTGAGCCTGTACTGACCCTCAGACTCTGCCCTGTGGGGTCCTCAGTGCTGGGGTCCCCTCAGACTCCGCCCTGTGGGGTGCACAGTGCTGGGGGTTCCCTCAGACTCTGCCCTGTGGGGTCTTCAGTGCTGGGGTCCCCTCAGACTCTGCCCTGTGGGGTGCTCAGTGCTGGGGGTCCCCTCAGACTCTGCCCTGTGGGGTGCTCAGTCCTGAGGATCCCATCTGCTGTTGAATTTGGGTTATTCCTCACAAGCCTCTCCCCCAGCTCAGCCCTCCTGCTGCAGCCTGAGCTGCGGACGCTTGGGGGCCTCAGAGGATTGAGCCCCAACTGTGCCATGGTGCCCTCACAGGCCCGGCACCCCTGTCCCTGGTGGGGTGCTGCTGTGTGCTGGCCAGGCCTTTGGTCCCTCTGGTCCTCCCACCCAGTTCCTGCTCTGAACCCCACTATGCTTCGGGGGTGTGGGATGTGGTGCAGGCCGTGACCTCTGACCTGCCACCTCTGGGCAGGCACCCCAGGTCTCCGGACAGGATGGCCACCTCCTGTCTCTCCCCACCCAGCTCCTGCGCCCCCCACGCCGCACTCCCATCAGGCCCCGCTGACCCCAGCCTGCCATGTTTCTGCTCCCTGTCCCCACTGGGCCTGTCTGTCCCCCTGCTGGCCCTGTGGGGTGTCTGCTGTGACTGATCCCAATAGCCTTAGGCCTCACAGCTCTCTTTCCCAGAGGCCCCCAGAGCCTGAACAGCTCTGCCTTCATTGTGGGCTATTCCCACAATGAACCTGGACCCCGACAGTGAGGGGAGGCCCAGCTCTGCACCTGCACCTCAACCCTGGACCAGCAGTGGGAGTGGGCTGCTGTGGGGGGGGGGGGTCTGCTGTGGGGGAGGGGCCACTGTGGGGAAGGGCCCGCTGTGCGGGAGGGTCTGCTGTGGGGAGATCTTTGGGGGGGGAGTCTTCTGTTGGGGAAGGGTTGCTGAGTTAGGAGGGTCTACTGGGGGACTGCTATGGGGGGAGGGGCTGCTGGGGGCTGCTGTGGGGGGAAGGGGCTGATGTGGGAGAGGGTCTGCTGTGAGGGGAAGATCTCCTGTGGCGCAGGGTCTCCTGTGGGCTGCTGTGGGGGTTGCTGTGGGGGAGGGTGTCCTGTGGAGGAGGGTCTTCTGTGGGGAAGCATCTGCTGTGGGGGAGGGACTGCTGTGGGGGAGGGTCTCCTGGGGGGTGCTGTGGGAGCTGTGTGGGGAGCAGCCTGACTTCGCAACCCCATGTGGTATGTGCAGACACTTGGGGAGAAGCCGCTTCCAAGGCGTGACTGTGGTTTGCTTTCCGAGGGGCCCTGCAGACGTGACCTCATCTCTCCCGCCGTGGGCTGGGGTCTCTGCCCAGAGCCAGGCTGTGAAGACTCAGCCAGAGCTGCAGGCAGCGGGCCGAGAACGGCAGAGCGGTGGGGTCAGCCGCAGGGTGCACACAGGGTCGGAGGAGGAAACTGAGGCTTGTGTTCAGCCGCCCCTACCCTGCGGCTCTCCCCCTGTCCCTGCCCGCCCCCTGCCGCCTTGCCCGGGCTGTGGACGCAGGCCAGTGGGCCTGGGTTATTGCTCCTCGGTCTGGGACACGGGCCTCCTGGGTGGTGAGTGCAGAAATAACTTGTGTTTATGTGTCTTGGGCCCTTTCGAGCAGTCTTGGAGCAGGTTCCCAGTGCCCTGGAATGTGGCCTCGGGCTGCAGGGCTGGATCGGCCAGTCAATACCGTCCCCCACCCCAACCTGACATCTCTGTGACCGAACCCCTGCCCCCGCCCCCTCCCCACACATGGGGGGTGGGGGGAGACAGCTGAAGCCTGGGCTCTGAGCTTTGCTTCCACTGAGGCTTCCCAGAAAGGACGTCAGAGGTTAAACCAGGATTAATTGTGTTGGATGACGTATGTCAAGGCACCCCCTCCACATACATACTGTCTCATGTTCTCACTCTCTCACACACGCACCGACTCACACACTTGGACTCACACACACACACACACCCCACTCACACACACTCGCCCCACTCACACACACATACACTCCCCCCACTCACACACACACTCCCCCCACTCACACACACACACACACACACACACTTCCCCCACTCACACACACACTTTCCCTACTCACACACACACACACACACTCCTCCACTTCTTCCTCCCCCCTCACACACAGAGCACAGCCTCAGGGGTTGTTGGGGTTGTTTCTGGAAGCTCAGAGGACACGGATGCCTGAGCACAGACCTGAGCCTAAAGAATGCTGGGACCCAGTGCTGACATCACCCGCCTGCCGTGGGGAGGAGCCCCCTGACCCCAGCCTGGGGCAGTTATTTTGAGCCTGGGCAGGTCCCTTCCCACCACTGCCCAGCGCCTGCAGGCCCGAGGCTGGCTCAAGGCTGTGGGCTGGCTGCCAAGGACCCAGCTCTCGCCCTGCTCTGTCTAGCCCAGCATCCACACTGCCAGCCCCTTTTGCAAAGGATTCCCCCCCCCACCCACACACACACCCAGTGGCGGGTGCCGGCCCAGACGCAAACAGCAGCCAGGTGTCACCGGATATCCTCAGCCCCGTGCTTTCCGGG